TTTCTTCTAGAATTTTTCATACCATCGATCATTACGGTATTTAGTATTTCCATCTATGGAAATATCCCTGACTGTATAGTGGCAGCAGAATTTTATATTACATTTGACATTTTTTAAATAATAAAATAGAGGTCAATTGATGTCATTTGCCACACTGCATCCTAGAGTGAATTATATAACAAATAATGACATGTGTTTTTTGTGGAAGAATAAATGTCACAGAATGATATTTATAGAAGTATTGAAGAATATGCGTTCACTGAAAAAAAATAAAAGATTTTTAGAAAGTGCCCCCAAACGATTCAAAGATTATATTGATGTTTGACCCGTCTTATAACATTAATCAGTCAATAATTATAAGTATTAGTTTATTCTTGCAGCTACCTTGGAAATATTTTATTTATCTATCTGACATTTGGGGAGGGAGTCCTCGCAATTGATACATCAAGGTGATATCGATTACTGAATGTTTTTATTATCGAAAGTCCAGAACTAAATATAATATGATTTAATCCTAACCATTATTGTATGCTTATTATCTTTTTATTTTTTTTATTGATTGTGCAGAAGTTACATAAAAGAAACTTTTGTTTTTATTAGGGCAAGGAAAAATACATATTACCATTGAGCCCCTAAATATTTTATAGTAAAAAACGCTTCTTTTTAAAGATTCGTGGATTAAATTCCTGTCATCATGAGTAAAATTTGGTCCTTCTTTAGCCATTGCTTACGGCTTTTGAAATAGATCCAGGGTGACAAGAATAAAAGTTTTACCTATTTTGAATTTTATTATGGAATCAATTATGCTGCCATATTCCTATCCCATTTCTAGCGGCTATTAAATCCGAGTTTCCGAAGCTAAAGAAGAAGAAGAATGATTTGGACGAAGTTACCGGAGAAAAAGTAAAATTTCCTAATGCTAAAAAAACCTTTCAGATATTATTATTATTATTGCGATGAGTCAACATTTTTTAAATTACCTTCTAGTGAAATCGGCAGTAATCATGAAGGTTTTTTAGCTTCGGCTCCAGTCAAAGCCCACGGTTTTTAGGGGGGTTTTTTTTTTCAAAGTAATAATAATAATGAAATTTTAATCAACTAAAATTATTTTTAATTTAATAAATAAAAAAGCACGTCGTTAGCTATTGCAGGCGAAGACTATTGTATATTAGCTTCTGATACTCGTCAAAGTAGAGGATACCTGATTAATTCAAGATATTCTCCTAAAGCTTTTAAATTGCGAGTAGATCTGCTGCTTTATTGATGCATCAATTCATTGTTTATTTTTCTGGTTGTTTGATTTATTAGATGCAGCAATTTCTTTGAATGGATATGCAGCAGATGGCATTGCAATGGTTAAGAAACTTAAACAAAAGATGGAGGTTTGTCCAATTCAATTAATTTTACATTCAAATTTAAATTCAAGTAAATCATTATTAGTAAGAATGTTTACACAATTATAAATTTCGCATATTTTACACTTCAGTGGTATAAACACGCACACGATAAAGAGATGTCAACACCAGCTTTGGCTCAAATGATTGCAATCGCATTATATATGAAACGTTTCTTTCCATATTATATTTCCCAATACACTGGCTGGACTTGATGAGAATGGTATTGAATGCTATTCTTATTTATTGCATATATAACTTTTTATTATATGTTATCAATAAACCAATGTTAATTGATAAATAGGAAAAGGAGTTATTTATCGTTTTGATCCAGTTGGTTCATTTGAGCCAGTGCCTTGTAATGCTAGTGGATCAGGAGAAACTTCGATTCAACCTTTTCTAGACAATCAAGTAATAAAATTTCATGCTAATGATACATTATTATTGTTGTTATTGTTATTGTTGTTGTTATGCTAGCCATATGTTATATTAAAAGTTTTTATATAATTATTAATCATATTTACATATTTATATGTTTAATTCAGGTTGAATTTAAAAACCAATGAAATGTTGATAAAGTACCATTACCACTTGATAAAGCAATTACTATCGCAAAAGATGCATTTACATCAGCTGTAGAAAGAGATATGTACACTGGTGATTATTTAGAAATATTTGTTATTACAAAAGATCGAGTTGAAATTCAATCATATGATTTGAAGAAAGATTAAAAGCAAGCAAACAAGTAGGCAGGAAAAATTAAATTTATATATGTATAAACTTAAAAATTAACAATTTAAATAATAATTGATTTTCTATTGCAATAATAATAATATATAATTATGACATTCACAATTTCAACTTTTTTCACTTGTTGTATCTTACATCTCATCCCCCCCACTTATAATAATTTGGATAGCCATCATCTGCGCCAAGTTTAAGCATCATTAATCAATATACACAGACAGACTCGATAAGTCAGCCGCATAATTTATACTATTGAGTACTTTAAACAATTGATTACTGCGGGCTGACTTATCGAGTCTGTCTGTGTATTAATATTAATATACTTCTTTAGCAGAAATTGCTCCCCTCAAATTATTCATTTTTTTATGATAAAAGGAAAATTGACCGATAAACTATTTGAACCAAGAATTCCAACATTCAAAGAATCTAATTAACTTTGTTTGAAATACAAATAAATCTTTCATCCTTAATAATGTTGAGTAAAAAGTCACAAAAAAAAAAGCTGGATTTACATTATGACATTAATTAGATTTGTTAATCAACTTATATCAAATACCCCAGTCGCCTTGTGTACTGATACACCAATATTAATTTTGTATTTTGTTTAAAAATAAATTTTTTTTTTTACAACAAAAAAATTGTAATCATTCACGGCATGCATCACATGCTCAACTATAACTTTTTTAATTGTAAGCATTATTATTATATTGTTTTTTGGAAGAGTACGCATGTTTTATTTAAGTTATTTAAGTGAATTTTTTCAATTAATAGTTGTTAGTAATAGACTTCCATTAATAAAATACTAAATATAGTTAAAATATTTACACTGGTGGTTCATAGTGGGTTAGATCTTTTTAT